ATCGTACTGAGTCTTTGAAGCCTGTACAATGACATGCTATGACTGACCGTTGTACAAGTCAGAGCTTTTATCCTCCCAGACGAGTCGGGTATTCAAACAACAACTCTATACTTGTACGGCTCGTCTTCACTAATGTACGAGCACCAGTAACAGACCATTCGTTTCTTTCTTTCGCGATCGCCCTCCACGTAGACCGAGGATTCGACGAATACGGCGAAGTGAGGAGTCGTTCAGCTGCAACTGTTTGGCATCTTTCATAGTCCACGACCGGTTGCGCGACCAGTCGCTAGCGACTGGCGACCGGTCGTGGACTATGAAAGATGCCTTTCACGTGATCGACGAGCACATCCCCCATCCCACAACAGGCCTACCCATAGATCGTGTAGCTCCTACGGGAGCCCACCCGACTGTTCTTGTTGTGCATTTGTCATCAATGATCGGCCTACCGAAATTTTGCGTTCTTCATGTACTCCACCGGATCGCGGAGTCGAGACATTCTGCGCATATCGGAGCTACGGAGTTCGGCTCGAATTGAGTAAGCCGGTTGAAGCTCAAAAGACATCGCTCCAGCGCTCTGCGGCTTGTGCTCAAAGCCCTCAACGTAGGTGCACTGGTCACCTAAGCCCCCAACCCGTAACAGAGCCCAGGAAGAACTGTGGAATCGAACAGATTGGCGTGAAGTTCTGTTAGCGCAACAGGAATATATATAAGCTATCGTTTGCAGCTCTTTCCTGTTATCATTGTCCTGTTCAATCACCATGTTACTTCCTTATTTACTCATTACGAGATACGTAGCCTCAGCGTATAGAAGAAGCGCACCCTAGCATGAAATACGGCAAGCTTCAGTGGACGGCATTCCATTACGAAATTGATCATTATGAAGGTTATACAGTCTGGAGGTGTTTTCCGTACATAATTGTTCATGTCTCTTCACTTATTTTTCTGGGACATCGTTATCTGAGCGTAATTATGATAACATTCAAATGAACCTTGAAAGAGATTCTGTACAGGTGTGAACTCAGCTTTCTCGACTTGTTGTTCTTCTCCTTCGCATTCGAGCCGCGATATCGTAGGGTCTGCTGTGTTTTTGTTTACCGTAGTCATTTCTAAGGGTCTATTT